ACAAACAAAATATAATACTTACAGTCACACCCGCCGACATTCACACTCACGCCCTGCTTAGCTTTCTCGTGGTCACCATTCCCGTACTTATCGTTCTGGTTATCCACACTGGCACCACTGTGTATTCTACGATATTTCCTACAGATATTTTTGTCGATTAGTTTTCTATTGGAATTTTGAGAATACTATACTCTAAGCGAACACCATATTAGAAAGATCTTGATCATGGTACACAGAACTAAAAAGATTTTGAAACTTTACATACAAGATAATATTATTGTCCTATATCAACATCTGTAATTTGATCTTTGATATGGATTTATAAGATCTTAATCAAGATACACATGGTCTAATATAATCACTATAGTTCGTGTATGGGTGCTCTTAAATATTTCAGAAATAATCCATTCGATATCTTCTACAAGTGTCAAAAACCAATGTTCATATATCTCAATCACATCAAATTGATTTGTATACACAAGACCAAATTACACTGATCTTCTGTCTAAATTTGCAAGATCTAATCACCTTTGACTATTTTGTATCTTGATGACAAGATGTTTCATGGGAGAAATTATACACTAATAAACATTCAAAACAGAATCTTTGGAAGAAATACTCTAATTTCCTTCTTCATTTCTCAAATATTTACCATTTGTGAATTCTCTTCTACAAAATGTGTGAAAATTTTTTGTAAATCTGTATTCTTATCTCTCAACTTTAGATAAAGAATGACAATAGGAACTCACTCATACAAAGATAAAATATTATTTTAAAGAAAAATAAGTAAATCTTCTCTGCTTGAAATAGTTCTTCAAAAATTCTTCTTTAAAAAATCGAACTATGAATTTCATGAAAACTATCGATATTTCTCTTTGTAAAATATAATCTCGAATTTATCTTTATCAAAAATTAAACAGTAGAATTGTAATCTGTACGAATATTCTTATAAAATATTCAGAAATAAAATCAACACTTAACACACCATGAAAATGTGTTAATAATTTACTGAAAAAGAAAAGGTTACTGCCTTTTTTTATTTTGTAATATAATACCTGTTGTCGTCGGGTCGGTCACTGTTGTTGTTTTTGTTGTTTTAGTTGATAGTTTTATTACATCTGTTGTTTTTGTTATCACAGTTGATAGTTTTGTTATGTCTGTTGTTTCTTTTTTACTAAGTAAAACTGGAACAGTTACCACCAAAATAACAATGATAATACCAATAATGATCCATAATATTTTCTTTTTTTTTAAACATTTGCTTCTATGATAAACAATTCTTTTGATTATGAATTTCAACAATTCAAAAAATACATACAACAATGTTGATCGATCAATTGATGTTTGTTGAGAATTTGACGTAACTGTTTCATCCTAAAATAATTCATTAAAATCAAACATTATTTTATTTTATCCGAATAAATATATTACATCACAAACTCCTATTTGATTTCGATTCATAATGAACGTTTTGTACACGTGTGGAATTGAAATAATACGTTATTAAAATAAATAATCTGAAATATCTTACAGAAATAGATGACATCAAAATAAAACATATTTTCAAATATAAAGAGAAAATAATACTTGAGCAAAACTAAAACAATGAAAAATACTTTGTTTAGGAATCAAGTGAAAGAAAATTATTAATAGAGACAAATGTTTATAAAACTTTTGCGGAATAGTTTTAAATGATTTTGCACAAACTGAAACAAAAAAAAACATTTACAAAAAGTGTTAAAATTTATATTCGATCAGAAAAGCTGAAAAATCTTTCTTTTTCTATTATTCACATAGCATTACTTTATACAAACCCGCACCCAAATCCAATTGACCCAGAATAAAAATTTGTTTTGCAGTTCTATTACCAAGTGACTGATTACAAAATCGTTAAAGTGACAGAAAACACTTAAATGTGCTGCTGCAAATTAATAATCATAAAAATAACAAGTTTTTTTCTTCTACGCAATAATATCAATATGAAATATTTTTATTGAGACATCTGCAACAAAACATAACATTGAAAATCATCGATAAATAAGAACAATAAATTTTGCTTCCTTTTTCAAAGTTGATTTATGAACAAAAGCCTACCAGATGTCAGTTATAATCTGCTGTAAATATAAGAGAATATTCATGATATTCAAACTTTGGAGGAAGGATATGAAAGAGAAACATTGAATATCGTCACTTACAGAAGAGAATGCAACGTTTTCTAACAAAGAAAACAGATTTTATTTGAATAAGATATTTTGTTATTTTGTAGAGAATTGGAGAAACAAATACATCGTTCTGAAAATCTATTTTGTAGCTAATCCTGATATCTTCGATAATTTCTGAATAAGTGGTTGTAAATATAATTGTAAGCTGAAATTTATCTCCAACTAATACACACGTAGTCATTGACGCTCACTCACACTCACATATATCTTTCAATTACAAATAGTTTACTGTCTTTTATGCTGTGTAGGACATTTTTGGAGTTGGAAGGAACGACGTTCTATCATCATCCGACAATATCTAGAACAATATGGTGATTTATTAAAAAGTAATTAAATGTAAATTATATCTTTAAAAACATCTACCAAGTATTTTTAAGTGTAGCATTTGTGCAGTATCGTTGTGCAGGAATGATTAACAGGGATTAGACATGTCAAGAAATTGTTAAGGTATTGGCATCATTAGCAAATGATAGTAAAAAACAGCACGAAACCACAGTAGATCGATCAACAATTGTGCTGACAGCTGGTTGAGTAATTGTATCAGGTAATAATGGTGAAGCCAATATGATTTTAACAATACATGAATGTGCGGAATATACCTTTGATTTAAAACTATTATATATTCTTGATTTTTTCCAAAGGTGATTTTTTATTACTTTCGATGGGTTTTGTTATACGTATAGTATTGTTTTATTCATTTAGTTGTATTTCTATGAACAAAAACTTCGTGATTTTTATTAAGTGATCTGTTGATTATTTCTTTATCCTATCGTCTATGAGGATTTGTAATGCGATCAATATAAGTTCTTCTATTCAATAGATAGTTTCTCGTTTTTCAGGTTATCCGTGTAGATAAGTGAGAAGGGGTGAATTGTGGGTGTGTAATAAATATAACATTCATACCCACAACTACACTCATCGTCGTAGCAATTCAAAAGTGATCCGCAGAAGATGAAAATTTTGGATTGATAGGTTGTTTTACAAGTTCTTTCATTTGTAATAAGTTGAAGAGGGTCTGCCTGACCACCTATCACATCGTCCGGAGCTAAATTTTTTTCGGGGATTTTTTTGACTCAAATGAAAGATCATATCGAGAAACTTTTAAATTCAAAATATTAAATCTTTATGACGCACCTGGAAAAAATTGTAGGTGTGGGTGTGAGTGAGATAAATAAGACAACCATCCTCAGGTATTCAATGAATTTTACGAAGTCTTCCAGCCGAACTCATGACTCGTCAATCTCACATCTTCCATCGCTTCATCCTGGACGACATCGAGATACTTTGAGTATAGATTAAGATACGGTTCAATTTAAAATCACTCCGATATTTCTACTTAATTTCTGAAATCCTCTGAGAATTTTCGACCAGTTTGTATTTACTCTAAATTTATTTTCTTCTGATATATACAAATTTTAGTATCTGATCACATTCAATATACCTTTTTGTTTCAAATTTTTCATAGACAACTTTAAATAAAACAACACAAATAAATGGTAGTTTACTTTCAACACATCAGATATATTTTGTACAGTGCACTGCACATGCAAGAGGATCTTGTTTAAAGTAAACTATAATGACTTTATAAATGTTTTCAGGTGTGATTAATAGACATGCTTATATTTGTGGACTTGGTCAGTTTATGGTTGAATGAGATTGGTATAAAATCAAGATGGAATCTTTTCTCTTTTGACAAGCATTTTTTTTGAATTTGTGTAAAGTTTATTCGATCTAAGTCTCAAGAAGTGTTAGTTCTTAACTTTCAATAAATTTCAAAAAGTTTAAATTTAACTTTTGTCTATAAATCGGAGAAGTTAACAATTGATTCGACTTTTGTTTTTGAACCACCGAATCTAAAGTAGGATCAAATTCAATATGGAATAAATCATTTATTTTAAAAATTTTTCTTTGTTATTTAGTAATTACTTAAATGGACGAAAAGATTATTATTGAGAATCGCGATTTATCACGTTTATGTAGAGTACTGAAATATTTGAAGATATGACTTTTTTGAGATATCAGATATATACATGCACGAATACCGAAAGTTTTGAATTGTGGGAATTTTGAATCAGTTTGAAGTTTTGGTGTGCTGAGTCTCTTCTTGAAATAGGGAATTGACTATTGATATCACCTCATACTGATTCTCGCTTGATTGTTCTTTTCTCTGTTCATCTCCCTTTTTCTCATTCCTATATAAGCGTGCGTTGTATTATGTATTTACAATCTGAAAGTGTAAAATAATTTAATAAACATCATTACCGATGAAGATGAAGGTATGCTAGTCACCCAGTTTATCGTTCCAATGACTTTCTACTGTCAGTTATGATAAATAATATAAAGTTCCTTGTTGAACAAAGAACATTTTTTCGATTTCTTGGTTGATGTTGTTCTACTTAGCAAATGTGTTTCTATTTAAAACAAATGTAATCTTTTTCAAACTACCGTTAATTACTTTATTTTTTAAGATAAAAAATGCGAAAAAAAAGTAATGTAAACCATTTGAAATGATCAATAAAATCATATTGTATTACTATATTTTGATGAAATCAATAAAAATTGTTTTACAAATTGCGACTTACTTATTTGTGTGTGATAAGGTCGTACTTAGAGTATACTCAAACCGTGTGATGTACTTTTAGATGATAGTGAATGACTGATAAATCGCGATTGCACGCACCGTTAACTTATTTTTTCCGTTCTTATACAAGTAAGGCGTGTCAGCCATAAACAAAAAAATACTATTTGTTTTTCATTTAGCAAACATATTTTTGTAAGATGGGTTGGTTGAGAGTGTTTGCATTAGTTCGACGTTTTTATTTTAATTATAATTATGTTGATTCTAATTTACCATATATTCATTCATTATTTTTTCGTCGCGTTCAATTCTCAATTCGATTGGTGATTGCGTTTCTTGTCAGTGGTTTCCTTGCCTATGGATCACCATTGAAAAATCAGGTCTCACAACTTATATTTTTAATTCCTCTTGCTAGTGTATTAGTTATACAAGATACAGTTGGTTTAACAGTGGCTGCTGCTTTTCAAATGTTAACCACACTTGTCCCTGTTTCAATCTTTCTTTTTATTGTTCAAAAAATTGGTCTTGGTTATCACGATTACCTTGCAGCTGAAATTATATTACTCATTGTATCTTTTTTTATTGGCTTCGTTGGTTCACAGGTATACATTTCTCAACATAGACAGTTCATTTCAGGGATCTCACTTAAAAAAAATTCGAATGTTTTTTATACGGTTTAAGATATAATCAATCGTTATTTTTTTTAAAGGTCTTAATGAGATTAGAAAAAATAGTTTAATGCTTTGGTATTAGTATTGCATTAATTTAATAGTTATGATTATCAATAAGGAATCATTTATATTCTACTTTGAAAATTTAATACTCAGTAAGAGAATGAAAATGTACTACTAGAAATCATAAGTATGACATTATGCGTGAGAGTCTATTTTTGTTTACAAATGATATCCTAAGGTTTCATCGCAAAAATATTTGTTGAAAGAGTAAATGTTAATTTAGGCTCAAAGTCGTAAAATACCTTTGGTAATGTGTGCAGTATTTTTTGCAACGATCGTCAATCAACCGATTATTCCGTCAACTCTTATTTTTCAAATATTTGAAGAATTTGCTATTGGAATTTGTGTATCTGTACTTGTTTCTTTGATTATCTTTCCTGCTTTTGTAACGATGGATATTGAAAATCGTGTTAATTATATTTTATTAAATCTTGGAGAAATGCATAGATTAATAGTTCAATCATTCTTACATCAAGATCAAATAGATGCACAAGTATTACTTACTCAAGCATCAACAATTGAACAAATGGTTTTTGAAGCTATGAGTTCACTACAAACAAAACTAGCTTTCGCTCGTTTCGAACCATCAAGACTTCTTCAACGGATTTTCAATTTAAAAAGAAAAAATATAATTGATTTAACATTATCAGGTTTGTTTTCTTAATAGGAAACTTACTTTTGTCTATTTTATTTGTAGAACAAGAAAATTTGGTCACATCATTATTTCTTTATGTTCGATCGATGCAATCAATGGTTAAACAATGCCATTTCAATGAATATCACACTGATTTAACACGAGATGTCAGAGAGAGTCTTCTAAATTTATGTTCATGTCAATCAATAATAATAAATAATATAACAAAACATACATCGATAACAAAAGGTGAATTTATGTATTATGTATCAGATCTTTACCAAGCTCATCAAAAGCTTAGTAAGACATACAGAGATACTGGTTTTCATCGTTTGGAATATGCAGTTATATCTGGCACAACTATTAAATCCGAAGATTATCTCGGTCATTCTTTCTTTCTTTTTCAAATACATACTATTGCAAAACTCTTAATATCAGTAACGACAACAGACAAGAAAAAAGTTGTTGAAAAAAAAAGAAAAACAAGTTTAAAAGAACGTCTGATACCTAAATGGTCACGAATATTGGTAGCATTGAAAACTACAATTATAATGGGAGTTGGTTCAATTTTTGTTATGGTACCGAGTTTAGTAACAACATTTGAAAATGGTCAATGGATTTTTATCGCTCTCTGTATGACACAAGGAGATACTGTTGGCGGAGCATTTACAACAATGCGAATGAGACTTTTCGGGACTTTACTTGGTAAGTTTAACAAACAACATTTTTTTTTAAACTCGTTTCTTTAATAGGAGCAATGTGGTCATATATTACATATTTAGCAGTTGGAGAACAGATTTATCCAACATTTGGAATGTTAGTTCCCTGGATTCTTTTCTTTGGTTATATAAGATCATTACCTAATTGGACTTATACAGCTCTCGTCGCTATATTCACTCCAATACTAATTAATCTCG